TAGGCCACCTGTGGCCCAAATAAGGTAAGGGAGGGGGGTTTAGCTTATTTAGGCCATATGTGGCCTAAATAAGGTCACCCAAAGTAAAACAACTCAGGAATAACGGAAGTTTTATTTCACATACAATTTTCATGAGTTTTGAGGGGAGTAGTAGCTACAGCAAGGATTGTTCAATACAAAAATTATTGGTGAAAACAGGTGTCAGTAGTTGACATTCACAATGAAAACCGGAAATTAATGCTCTGGCAGACTCAAAGTGAACTTAAAAATAGCCAAAATTGTATTGATAACTAGATCTAGCAGAAGTACACAACAGGCATAAATGGTCGCTTTTAAGCACAAGGGGGCTATACCGAAAAATGCTGTTCTGAGAAAATTGAAGGTAAAGCTTTCGCCCCTTGTTCAGTTTCTTTGAAAGAAAAGAAGATTTTTCTCTTTAACCAAAAAATATTATACACATAAATGAAACCAAACTACTTCTATAGGTAGGGCAATGCCCACTTTTGCTGAAGGTCAAGATTTCTGGAAACCCCGAAATCTGGGTTAGCCCACTTGTCCAAGCGACCAAATATGCTATACTGTAAAATAATTACTGCCACATGACATATATAAGTGTAAAAAGTTTTGACAGTTTATGGTTCCGAACTTTGTTCCTCTGTCGTAACTTCAATTTGAGGGAAGTCAGCATTGTGGTAACTTCAGTGAGAGTGATGTTGGCACTTCTCATTGTCCCATCTGACTCTGACACCTGAATTGGTCGCTTTCAAGGACAAGCGGGCTAACCCAGATTTCAGGGGTTTCCAGAAATCTAGACCAAAAGTGGGCATTGTCCTACCTATAGAAGAAGTTTGGTTTCTTTGGTGCGTATATTTGTTTGGTTATAAAGAAAACTCTCCTTGAGTTTTTATTCTCAAAACAGCATTTTTCGGGATAGCCCCCCTTGTGCTTAATGCCGTCCAACTTACAAAGCAGCTCCAATGTTCAACAATCCCCTCCCAATCCCGCCCCCTCCCCCGGGCCAAACACCCTCTCCTGTCAGACAATCAGGAGGCCGTCTGTTGCCCCATGGAACAGGTTTTGTTCCTTCACCTTCACAAAGATATCCAACCTATCTTCTTCTATCCTGAGGTTGGGGCAACCGTGGGGCACCACTGCATCTGACAACCAGCTCTCACCATTTCTCTTTGCCCTCTGCTTTCCTCAGATTGTCACCCATCCAACCTATAGCAACTTTAAATGTGAGGCATCGTGGTGAATTCAGGCGTTCGTCAAAATATTGAAACCAAAGAAACTGGCGCTTCTTTGGTCGTCTGGTAGTTTGGTTCTAATTTTTTAAAATTGACTCAACACCTTTTACATTCACTTAAAAACACATTTCTGAGTGGATTTTACTGAAAAACATTGATTAAAGGCACATAAAATGTAAATGTTCAGTTTCCAAGGCCTCTCAAGCTATGGAAATCATCAACTCTGGCGGGTTTTTTTCTCGCTAATCTTACCTCTGAAACCAAATTACCCTCACCTCTTTCAATCACAAATATCTTGGCTTCTATTCAACACAGTTGGGTATTTTTTTCACCAAAAGCAAGACAAATGAACAGGCTTTAAGATGATACCAATAACCCCATATGTTTCTTCTATCTATGACTGCACTCCTTTGTGATGCCTTGGACTTAAGTCAATTTGGCACTCCTCATATTTTCATCTGAAACCAGACTTTGAAAGTATCTTAACCCCTCCCAATTGGGCATGTGGAGTTATTGGTATGATCTGAAAGCTTGGTCATTTGTCTTGCTTTGGATGAAAAAAATATCCTTGTATCTTGAATAGAAGTCGAGATATTTGCGAATTAATAAGGTGGGGGGGGGGGGGGGGGGTCACCTGGTTTCAGAGGTAAAATTTGTGAGAAAATGGCCGCCAAAGATGAGTTTCTTCCTTAGCTTGGGAGTCCATGGAAACTAAAAAGTTACATTTTTGGTGCCATTAATCAATGTTTTAACGTAAAATCTAAACAGAAATGTGTTTTTTAATGGGCATGAAAGGTGTTGAGCCAAGAAACAAAAATTTGATAAAAATTCACAAACCTGCGGAAAAATGTTAGTTTCTTCACTTTGATTACTTTGATGATGGCTTCACCACGATGCCTCACAATTTATGAAGTTTCAGAAGGTCCACAGCACTGTGCATGTGGTGTAGAAGATATGTTGTGCTTTGCTGTCACACACACAAGACCCAGGTTCAATTCCCAAGTGAAGGAAATGTTTTCTACTTGCAAATGTTGAGCTTTCCGCTGGGATGTTGTATCCCTCTCAGTCTGAGTTGGTCTGGTCTCATAAATTAGCTAAATTGTGTAGTTGGGGATTGGGGGGGGGGACAGGAACTTTGGTTTCAATATTTTGAGCGCTTGAATTCACCACGATGCCTTATATTTAAAGTTGCTATAGGTTGGATATCTTTGTGACGATGAAGGAACAAAACCTGTTCTTCATTAGAAAAATTGTTTTCATTTGAAGAGAAGCCATCTTTGGATGATAGCAAATCAGGGAGGACTCACCTCCAGCATGTCTCTGTGTTGTTCCACAGTGTAGTGATACACGTCAGAATACTCCTTCTCCGAGGTGTCCACCTCTTTGCCAACATAAGGCACCAACTCCTGGGAAAAAGGCAATATAATAATAATCTGAATATTTCATTAGGATAGCTGTGGTGAAAGTTAAGTCTAACAAGCATCATTATAATGAGCATGGCAGGTCAATACTTCTATTGTGGACTCCATTCTTAATATGTCAGATTGCAAGGTTGTTTGAATGATAAGTGTTGATTTCACTTTTGAGCTCTACCTTCGACTTCTCCAATGAAATTTACTGATCGGTAGTCTTGTAAAAAAAAAAAAAGGCTCTCTTTTCTGCAATGCCATTGGGAGTGTTTCCAAATTTGCTCTACTCACTAAGTGTTGTCTGTAATTTACCAATTTTCTTTGTTGTACACAAACTTTTATTTGGATCTTCTTTGCCTTTATTTCCTGTCTGAAGACTTCAAATTGCTCTGGCATAAGGAAGAGGGTATCATGTTTAGCTTTCAGTGTGTGTGGTGAGGCAGAGACTACACTTCCATTAGACATAGTTGATGCAAGGGAAAACTTATGAAATATACTAAATCCAAGTATAGGAAAGACTGTTCAAGTAATAGGTACTGTGTCACTTTCACAAAGTATTTTGAAACCCTGAAACTTTGAGTAAAAAGACTACCAGTTTTAGCAACCTCCCCCCCCCCCCCCCCCCTCCCCGCTATCATTCTTCCACTCCAGTTCCAACACTTACATACTTCAATGCTCTCATAGTTTGCAGTATGGTACTTTTTAGTTTATAAAAATAAATATGTATTCAGTCCCACAAAAATCACCTGTTCTGAGGGAAGTTCTGTCTGTTCAACTGTCTCGTTGACTTTGCTGAAAAAAAGCCTCAGTTTTCGGAAATTCATGTTGATCTGCCTTAGCTGCTCGTCCACTTTTGCTTTACGCTCAGCATACTGCTGTCCATGGAAGGTAACGTTGTTGGGAAGCTTCAAGAAGATCAGAGAAAATAATTACACATCAGATGAATATTCAACATTTTGTTTTTATTTTAATGATGTTCATTAAGTGACTTTTCCCCTTGAAAATGACATGTGATTACAATCAGTTACTCCTTGCACCCTAGCAGGAGGTTGGAGAAGAAGGAAATAAAAGTAAATTTACTGAAAATTTGGCCCTCTATTCAAGGGTCACGAAGCGTCTTGTTAGTAAAGTAAATTGGAATGAAAAATTCGATGCAACTGACTTGAGCTAAAAAATCAAAGAGAAGACCATGTGAAACCTGCAGGAGAATCACAGAAATTGATGTACAGACAAGTGAGAAGACATGGAACAACATCAAGAGGATAGCCCATGATAGAGAAAGGTGGAAACGGTTTGTCTGTGATCTATATCCTGGTGCAGGGTGCGAAAGGCAATGATGATGAGGATGATGATGTTTTGAGCTGCACAAACCTACCGCTGATAAAATGAGAAAAAAGTGCTGGTCGTTTCTATATTATGTTTAAGTGGCACCACAACATCACATGACATCTACTTTTCAAACTTGCATGGCTCCAAACCTACCACACTTCACTGAAAAGTGTCTACAACAAAAGTAAGTAAACAGGAGAATGGACAAAAACCACCAAAAATTTGCATCACTTTCATTGGTCGAAATCAGTGGGTGAAATACTGGAAAACTCTTTTTAAAATGTTTACTCTCCATGAAAGTTTATGATTAAAGCTCTTTTCACAAAAGTCTCTTCTATACAAAGTGTATGTTTTATATGATGTGGGTCAATGGCCTTAACACTTTGCGGCCTCATCTCGCCGATTGGCGATGTTTATCACCCAGTTTCTTTGGATTTTCCCCAAAATATGAATACAACACCTACCTACCTACCTACCTACACTCTCTGTCAAGTCGCAATCTTAGAATCACAAAGTTCTCTATCTGTTCAATAGCCTACCTACTTTTGAGAAATTTGACGCAAAAAATGTTGAGTTTCACAACATGTCAGGCTTTATCCAATGCAATTCTTTGAATATTTTGATAATGACTCCGAATAATCTTACCATTTTGACAGAGCAATCAGTTTCTGACCTCATGGTCTTATTAACCCAATTGCACCTAGCAGGCCCGACAGGTAGACTTTCCCTCTTCCCTAAGAGAAGGGACGTAACTCCGCAAAAATAACCCCCTATATTAAAAAAAAAATTATAGCAAAAAAACTAAATGAGCTAGCCTTCTAATTTTAAAAGATCCTAAAAGAAAAATGAACAAAGCACCTTCAAAAAAACTTTCAGACTTGTAAACAAAAAACTTTTGCAATTGTGGAACTGAGAAGTTGGAAGAAAACAAAAAAGCGAATTTTGACCAAAAGTTTGCAACAGGTGAAGACATTAAAAAATTCATTTAAAAAAAAGTATTGTTTGTAATTCCCTATTTTTTTATTTCCCGAAAAGCAAAATAGTTATAAAATGTGTACCTGAAATTTCAAAAGCATTGAGCAATTAGAAGGAGAATAGTGAGTGTTTGAAGTTGAGTGGAATAAATGTTGAGGGTCAATGAAAAATTTCTTTGATATGAAAAGGTGAAAAACACCCACATCACATTATATATACATGAAAACACAATAGTGTACAACAAACACATATAACAAAACCTAGGACAAGAATAGAGACAGAGAGTATAAGAGCAGTTTCGGTTACATGAAGACTCACCCAGGTGACTACTGTGACGAGCGCACATGAAGAATAATCCAATATGAAATAAACACAATTACTGCGCACTTGCCAGCTCCTTGTGGAAACTGGCAAAACACAGTTCCTTGTGCAAGTGGACCTTGCAAATGGAACAGCCATAGGGGGTCTCTGGTGTTCTTCCCTTGTTCGTCTTGGCTTTTATCTTGGAGCACCAGTGACAGGCCCCTTTCCGTCCCATGAGTCGTTCCAGCTGATGGTCAGATGACAAGGAGCTCCCCAGTCCTGCTGTTGACACCCCCTGGCTGACCTTCCTCTTTCCTTTCGAAACATTTCCTGCCACCAAAGCAGAACAGATGTCCAATCTGAATTTCAGGTGACTGACACCTCTGGCGTTTGATGGAAGGGGTCGTTGGGCGGCTCGGTACAGGTTCCAAGCATTCACTATTGACACCTGTACCACAAACCAGAGAATGTATCTCCACCACTTCACCCCAGATCTTCCCACTGCGTAGTAGGAGCGAAGCTGGTCAGCCAGGTCAACGCCAAACATGTGATTGTTGTAGTTCAACACTGAGTTCGGAATCTCAACGTGTTGAATGCCACCTTTTACACGACGAGTGACGGTGGAGACACCTGGCGACGAATTTGTGGAGAGAACCGACACTTTCCGTTTGTCGTTGAAGACTGTCGCCAGAAGACGACCTATCGTCATGGCTTTGATTTCTCCTGGAGCCATCTTGTCAGTGTTCGCTTTGTTTAGTTGCTGAGGCCAACCCTTCCGTGAGCCCCGGATGGTGCTGCAGCAGTAGGTGTTTTGGGCGAGGAGATCTTCGGCGAGCTTCACACTGCTAAAATAATTATCGTACACAAAATGATGGTACTTGCCTAGGTAATTTCTACCCATATTCATTACCACGTGGTGGCCAAGTCCATGGGGCATGGGGTTATTTACCTTCCCAGTGTAGACATCAATGTCTAGCACGTAGCCGTTCTGCGGGTCCGCAATGCACCAGACCTTGATGCCCCCGGGAGTTGGCTTTGCCTTTATATATTGTTTGAAATGAAGCCTTCCATTGTACGCGATCATAGCTTCATCAATCGAGAGACTTGTTCCCGGAATGTAGTTATCGGCTGCCCTGGGGAGAAAAAACAAGTAGAAAAAATAAAGAACCTGCGTCAAAAGCATTTACCTGAGGAAAAGACTACGAAAAGTTCAGTGCATGTTTAGAATATATAAAAATATATGAACATCAAATTATGTGCAAAAAATGTATGCGTAGTGTATGCGATATAAAATTATTTATTATGTTTATGCTTAAAAAATAATAAAATCGTGCACGTGATTGTGAAATTTATATTTTGTACGTATGCTGATAAATTTATTAAATTCTAATTGAGAAGAGTAAGAAATAATAGTTGTCGTAAAGAGCATACCTGTCGATTGTTTTCCTAGATCTAGTATTTTTTATTTTTAGATCTAGACTCTAGATCAATATCTATAATTATATAATTATATAATAAATAATTAATATATACTCACCTTTTGCGGAAGTTTTTGATGACAGGACGCACTTTGTAAAGAGGATCATGTCCCTCCGCACCACGAGCCACAGCCTGCGACGAGTCGTTCAAATGCAGGTACTGGTTTATCTTTTCGTACCTATTCTTGCCCATCACATCCGCGATGCCCGCAACTCTGAGTCGATCGTCTGTCGACCAGTACATGGAGTACTCAGGAAGCACATGAATTCCCATAACAATCACAATGTTCAAATAAACTTTCATGTCAGCGACAGTGACAGGCTTCCAGTATTCATCCACTTTACCCTTGCGCTGTTGTTGCTGTACTGCATAAAGGTTGGTCTGGTCAGCCATCATTAGGAACATATCTTCATCAAAAAATAGTGAGAAGAAATCGAAGGGGGAGGAGGAACTAGGAAGGGGATCAACGGGGCCTTGGTCACTTGAATTAGTGCAAGGTTGGAGATTCAAGGGAGGGACAGGGTCAGTTGGGTTGACAGGGGTCCAGTCAACAGATTCCGCACCACTGTTGTCGTCTTGACTCGGAGCCTGAGCCGCGACATTTTCCTCTTCCTCGTGACCGTGAAACACAGCTTCATCATCAATGTCCGATTCATAATCCTGATTCACAGTCCTAGTGCCTAGACCTAAATCAAAGTCCAAACCAGGGTAATCACCACCATATATGCTTTCATTTGCATCGTGAAACAAACGTAAAACCTCATCCATATCGAACGAAAAACAGTTGAATTTAGTAAACAAACCTTTCCAAACTTTGGAGCTTCGTGGTTTCACTACCAATGGACCGATTTCAATCAAACAAAGACCAAGATGCACTGCGAATCTCGGACTCTCACGTGGTTTTGCCGGAAATACCGATAGACACGAGACTTTCGTTTCTAATGACGCCTCGGCCGACGCCCTTTTTCCGGGCGCATGCGGGCGCTATAAGGGCAGCGGCAGTACGATTTCAGCAGGCGCATGCGGGCGCTATAAGTGCGATTGGGTTAAGTCAAAACGACTAAAAATGTCAGACAGAACTTTGTAATTCTAAGACAACGGGGTGTAGTGGTAAATCGGCTGATTTCAAAGAGATTTAACTAGGCATAAAATAGGCGGATTATTTTGCTAGGAGGCAAACAGATATTTACGGTTAATCTTAAAAGTTATTTCTTTTGAAAAACCCAAACTTTCGACTTTTGGTCAATATCTCCTTTTGTGGAATGCGAGAAGTTACTCATTTTGTCAGCGCGCCTCACAAATTATTACCTGCATATGTTTCGGCCCCAGAGACTGGAACAGCTCCTGAGCCCTGCCCACAATGTCGTGGACAATCTCCTGGCCCACGCGGCACATGTTCACCACGTTGATGTCCTTGGTCGGCGACATCATCTGTGGCGCTGGGGCAGGGCTCTGCTGCATCATGGGAGGGAAACTGCCAGGGCCCGAGGCCTCCCCTCTCTGGCTGCTGTATGGATGCTGCTGAGACTGGGCCTGACCTGCTGAGCCAGGTCCTGGTGTTGCCATGGTTACTGTTGCTTGTTGTCCTGTCCCTCAGAAGCTTTTGACAAAGACAAGAAGAAAAAAAATTTAGCAAGAAAAGAAGTATGATGTCAATAACTATTATTTATTGAAGAAGAAGATTATATCTTTGAGAAGAAGTAATTTTTCCAAGAACTTTACCCTCTTAAAGTCATGACATGCTAATGGAACCTTAGGAAGGGAAGCCCAATCTCTTTTCCTATTGCTGCTAAATTTGGGGACATTCGAGTTAAATGGTTAAATGGTATAGGTTTAATGCCCCTATCAACACTATTAAGTTATTTAATAGGTAGGTGGGACCTCCAAGTTTAACGTCCATCTCCGAAAGGACCAAGCCAAGTGGGAAATTCGTGTTGGGTCAGTGGCTTGACATATTATTTGTATCGATGTGTTTCGCAAGGTAAAATTTCCCACTTGGACATGATGGAAGATCGCTTAAATTGTTGATGCTCAAAACAGTAAGAACGCTGATGCTTAAACTTGATATTGAAAACGGTAGGTAAACGCAAAGACAATAAAGCGTGCGAAAATTCCCGTAAAGACGCCGGATTATTAACCCCCCCCCCCCGGCCCCGATAAACAATGTGCAGAAGAGATAAGCGACAGCATCATCGGAGCACCGCATCATATCACATATTCCCAAAAAAACATCGCACCCTTTGGTGCCATCAAAGATAGTGTGGTAGAGAATCTTTGGTGCAATACAGTTGGCTATATTTAGATGTAGTCATGACGTCTGACGTCACACAAGATGGTAGCCTCACCTAAAAATAGTTTGCGTCGTTCTACATTTAGTCGCATGTCAGCAGTTCTGTCTGGTACGTATTTTAGAAATCCTTTCCCTGTGGCACTATCCACTTCCCCAAACACCCACCTCTGTTGCACAACTCTCCCCACTTTGTTTTTCCCTTTAAATATAATATTAGACTCATGTCTATTTCCGCATGCTGTCCAACACCACCTCGATCTAGATCTATATTCTAGACCGGCGATTGTTCAGATGTTCGTGTTAAATTCATTCCCGAGTTAAAATTCTGATTTCGTTTATATTCATAGATTTAGGCATGCTTTGTTTCGGTATTGGTTCCTTCCTTTTTCGTGTTAAAAAATTCCAAGCATTTCTTAGTTCATTTACCTTTAAACAGGGTAATGCATTTACAACAAAGAATATTTCCAAAAACATTTTCTCTAAATTGTTTCAACATAAATTCTTGCAAATAGAAGTGGAACAGTTTACCAGATGTCCCATGCATTGAATGGAACTTGGCTTTTGCACTGGCCCGACACTCTTCTAGCCAGTCTAGCCATATTTACATCTAGGTTTGGCCCTATCGACTCAAGCCTGTCAAGTACACAGGTCTCATTAGATCTAGATCTAGTAATTATTCAGGTTCAAATACATGCAAGTCAGTAAGGCACCTTTTGGTTTTGTCTGAAATGCAAATACTTCAGGCATTGCAAACTAAAAATGTCATTTACAATTCAGCCATCAATATTAAGTACGGCTAGACTGCCAGTCTAGCCGTCCTTAAGTACGGCTAGCCTGGCTGTCTACCCGTACTTAAGTACGGCTAGACTGCCAGTCTAGCCGTACTTATCTTAGGCCCTATTAACATTAGAAAACAGCAGGTTTAAAATACATGCACTGTCAATAAGGCACCTGGTTTCGTCTCAAATACAAATACTTTAGGTACTGCACACTAAAAATTTATATTTACAATTCAGTAGGCCTATTTTTTTTAAATGGTCAGTCTAGCCATCATATTTTTCATATTTAGAATAAGTACGGCTAGACTGCCAGTCTAGCCGTCATTAAGTACGGCTAGCCTCTTCCAAAAAAAAAATTGCCTCTTCCCCCCGCAAACCGAGAGTGCGATATCGCTACGCGCAATCTCATTGGTCGACATAATTAACTTTGCCCCCGGCAAGGTCAGCTCAACTTAGCCGTTTTGTTCACACTAAATGATGCAGGGAAGACCAGTTTAGATCTAGTTTACTGGTTAAGCTCACGTCTCGAATGTTATTATTATAATCGAAAAATGTTTGTAAATGCTGCAAATATTTAGAATCTAGGAACAAGGGTCGGAAGTCGGAACGGACTTCTCGAGTCCGAATAGTTACTTCGAGGCAACAAATTATATAACAAAACATCAGCAGCACACAACAGCAACAAAAGCCACTAGGGCTAGGGGCAACAACAAGAAAAGAGCTGTGACTGTCTTTGTTAGTTTGGTGTGAGTGTGTGTGAGTGTGCACAAAGGCTACAAGCAAGTGTGGTGTGCATTTGTGTGTGAGGTGTGTAGATCTAGTGTGAGAGTATAGTCAGTAAAAGTTAAGTGTAGTGTAGACTGTACTGTAGCTAGTGTAGATAGATGTGTGCCTGTACTGTGTGTGAGGGAAGCCGTGTGTGAGAGTGTGTGTGTGCGTGTGTATGTGTACACTGTAAGAGAGAGAGAGAGGGTGTGTGAGTGCATGTGTGTGTGTTTGTTTTTCTTTTTTCTTTTTAACTTCTTTCCATTTTTTGTCACAGACTCACTCTGTCGCAACGCCGCTTTAGACACTTTATTAGACTCTAGTTGTCAAGTCACAGCACAGTGCACAGCGTCACTCTCGTCACGCTACCGAGTAGGATATCTAGATCTAGGGGTAGGGGTAGAGTAAGGGTTTGCCTTGATCTAAAGGAAACATTTAGATCTAACTCAGGTCTAGATCAATACTTTATGACTTTACCTTGTCTCAGTTCGAGTCTGGTAGTTGTTCAATTGTTCAACTTCAAATCTGTGGTTCAACACTAGAATCTACTACTTTTACCTTTATTTATTTTCAGTTTCCACTTTTTACTTTACCATTTCGAATCCAAAAAGTATTTAATTTTAGCAACGCGACGAAACAAAAAAAAAGAACGCTACTTTTCATTTTTTTTTCCCAGTTCCGCTGTACTTTTACATTCTATAAGAATGTAGCAAAATATGTGGAACATCACAATTCAAAAAATGAAATAAGTTTATATACATGCATAAAAAAATGTATTCTCACAGTCTGCAATGCCGCTGCGCTGCATTTTTATGCCAGATAGCCAAAGAGTTTATAATAGTACTAGAGATCGCTGCTGTGACGTCACCCACGTAAACTGACTATTGCTGTGCGGGCCTTCTCAGCTCGCCTTGTCGCCATTTTTGAAAGGATTAGAAACAGCGCTGCCATGCTGCGCGTCCCTCACAACGCCTATGTCTTTACAGAGTTTGAAGCTCAGTTCAGTTTTATTTTACGTTTTCATTTTGTTTTCTGTTGTTGTTTAATCATATAACATACACACATACACAATACCGCACCTGCTGACCGATTATGGGAAACATAAATGCAGTTAAATATGGGCTACAAATGAACAGAGAGATATAATATGAGATATATGTTAGGGGAATCAACAATCGCCTGATGACCTCCCGCCTCCTGCTCCCCAAGAAGAGATTTGCCTCGCCGATCAACGCTTACACACCCACTATCACCAACCCCGACGACATAAAAGGAATATTCTACGAGGACCTAAAGAAGACCATCACAGCCGTACCCATGGCAGACAAACTCATCATCCTTGGTGACCTCAATGCTCGAGTCTGCAGAGACCTCAAGTCATGGGAGGGGGTGTTAGGGAAATATGGTGTTGGCAACAGCAGCAGCAACGGACTCTTCCTGTTGGAAACCTAGCTGCCCACGATCTCCTCATCACCAACACGGTCTTCCGCCTGCCCAATGGTAACAAGACGTCATGGATGCACCCACGCTCCAAGCACTGGCATTTACTCGACTACGTCATTGTCAGGCAAAAAGACAGACAGGATATGAGAGTCACAAAGACCATGTGCGGTGCAGAATGTTGGACGGACCATCGTCTCCTCATCTCTAAGATGAGCCTCAGAATCACACCACCCAGGAAGCCCCTAGGCATCAAAGTGGCCAAGCGACTGAACGTCTCCAAGCTCAAGAATGATCTTGTCCAACATGTGCTGGTAGAAGAACTAGAGAAAAAAACTACAACAAAATGACATAGACCCGCATGCAGATGTGGAGACAGGGTGGGCACGTCTCCGTGACGCAGTCTATGATGTTGCCTTAGACATCATTGGCCCCACTTCCCTCATGCACAAAGATTGTTTCGACCACAACAGCTTTCACATCCAGACAATACTAGAGGAGAAGCTCCAACTCCACAGAACACTCCTCAATGACCCCTCTTCCACCTCAAAGAAAGAGAACTTCAATACGGCCAGGAGGAGAGTCCTGTTCGAACAACGACGACTACAAGACAAATGGTTCCATAATGCAGGCATAGTTCGCGATTTCCTCTTTGCGGACGACTGCGTGCTGAATGCCAGTACTCAGTCAGACATGCAAGGAAGCCTGGGCAGTTTTTCTAAAGCCTAAAATTTCGGCCTTATTATCTCCACAAAGAAAACCGAAGTACTGTACCAGCCACCCCCATCAGCTCCTTACATAGAGCCCTATTGTAACATCTACGGCCAAAGACTGGCAGTGGCAGATAAGTTTGTTTACCTTGGCAGCACCCTCTCTCGCTCAGTCAATATCGATATCCCCTTCCCCAGCTCCCTTTCTATGAGCAAAGAAAGACAAACAGTAAGGAATCAAACAGAGCAAGTATATAATAATTATTATCTGGTGTTTGAAGTACAAATGTAATTTAGAAATAAGACACTGGAAAGGGAAAAAACATTGTTTTTAAACAGACAATAAAAAGATAAAAGGACTTTTTAAAAGCAGAAAAAGATAAGGAAGAAATGGGGCAACGAAAACTGCGCGCTCCAAATCAGAATGTAAATATAGAACCTCACACTCACAGAACAAAAACAACAAAAGAAAAAAGTTTTACAATTTTTTAAAAATATTGTTTTGAACTCTGATCCACTTGGTTAATGATACCAGAGACCATAAATTATAATTAAATACTCTCTGCAGATAGTCTCTGTTTATGCCGAGCGTCGGCCATTTATCGTATCGTAATAATAATAATAATAATAATAATAATAATAATAATAATAATAATAATAATAATAATAATAATAATAATAATAATAATAATAATAATTTATATAATAATAATAATAATAATAATAATGATAATAATGATAATAATAATAATAATAATAATAATAATAATAATAATAATAATAATAATAATAATAATAATAATAATAATAATAATAATAATAATAATAATAATATAAAAAATTAATGATGATGATCTATGAAAAGGAGTAGTTTTTGTGTTCTTTTTTTAAAGACACACAGAGATTAACAATTCGGACATAAGAGAGAAGAGTGCCCCATCGAATGCACATTGAGTATATAACCTGGAAAGTAAAACTTCAGATTAGATAGCTTACATGATGAGAAGTGAAACTTCAAATCAAATAAATGAGTAGTAAATCGTCAAATTTGATTTAAAGGAGAAAATGAGTTAAAACGTCAAATCAAATATGCCTACATGAGATGTAAAACTTCAGATATGAAAAAAACCCAAGAGGAATATGTAAAAATTCTGATCAAAATTAAATACATAAGAAGTAAAACTTCAGTTCAAATACATGAGCAGTAAAACTTCAGGCGAAAAAAATAGAGTAAAATTTCAGATCAAATAAGAAAAGAGTAAAAGTTCAGATCAAATATTCAGATCAAATGCATGGAGAGTTAAAGTTCAAATCAAATATTCAGGTCAAATACAGGAGGAGTTAAACTTAAGATCAAATAATACAAGATGCAGAAGTATAATTTAAAAAAAATAAAATCAAAAAATCAAAAAAAAATCAAAAGGCTCAAATGGGTTGAAGTTGAGTTTATAAAGGGAAGACACTCGGCAAATGTTGGTCTTCCATGTTTTGGTAAGTTATAGCCCTTGCAATAGGCACGAGCTCAAAGTGCAATAAAGTCGGACAAAAATAAATGCAGGTCTATAGGTGGGGAAAGGGGAGGAGGGGAGACAGTGGTAGGATGGTGCCACTGGCGTGTACTGCTTTTTCTCTTTCCTTTTCTTGTTTCTGTTTGTCTGTTTGTTGTTTTCTGCCATTAAATGGACTGTCATTGTTTTGATGTTCTTTTGTTTACCGGAGTACAACAACAACAACAACAACAACAACAACAACAACAACAACAACAACAACGACGACGACGACAACGACAACAACAACACCAGTAACCAAACAAACGATCAAAAAAATACATAACAGAACTCAAACAACCTCCTCTCTGTCGGGGTTTCTCTTCTTCAGGCGATCATGCAGACGCAGTTACATGTGGTCAAGCAGGCATAGCATAAGTCTACGAACGTGAAAGGCACGTCATGTTTTGTTTATTTGTTTTTGTTTTGTCTTGTTTTTTTTTAGGGG